TGCAGCTTAGTCGTCTAGGACTTTGGTGATACGAATTTAATCATGAAACCTCATTCCACCTCTCTTCAGGAGGAAAAAGAGGAACAATCCAATTTACACTTCTTCAGTTTTGGATAGATTTTGACCAAGGAGTTGTCTATTTCCAATTTGATTCCTCTAAAATTACAAAAAAAATGTATAAAAATAAAAAAATCTATTCATTATTAATTTTAAGTTAATTATATTTATAAAATATTTTAATTTAAATTTTGATAAATAAAATTTTGCTTTTTTATGTTACAAATTTTTTTATTATTCATCTACAATTGTCGATACTTGCCTATTTTGAGTGAAGGGATGTACAGTTTATGGTTTGAGGAGACAGAAGATAAAACCAACAAGCATGAAGTTCATGATTGGTATAAGAATTTCATAATTAGAAACTGGTGAGATGAACAAAAATTTGACTTAAGACTGTCACAATTAAAAATGAGATTTGTCGTAGTTTTCAGATTTTAATAAACCTACGAAGAAAAACCAAAAACCGAAACAGAAAAGAAGAAAAAAGAAGGTTCAAGACCGGTAAAGCATCTCAACTCTGAAATACAGAACCACAAAAAATGTTGGTAGGGATTTATACTTGAACTGTTTTCATAAAAAATTAATAAATCTCGTACCCAATTCGTCTACATTTAAATTATATAATAACTACTTACAATTATGAAACTTATTATACCCTACCAAAATGTATCTCTCTCTAAAGTGAATTCACACCTTTACTTATTTTATTTTGAAATAAGGGTGGCTGTGTATATCTTCTTCTTCTTCTTTTATGTTTATACACTGTCACACTTTAAAGAAACCAGATCATGTGCTCTCTGCCATACAAATAGGAGTGCACACTTCAGACCTATTTTTTACTAGCCATTTTTCATATGTTGTATTGTAAAAATGTAATGAATGGTTGGGGCTTCTCGTGGCTTTTCCATCTTATTCCGAAGTCCACTTCCTATAACATGCTGAAGTTAAAATGAAAAAGAAGGTGAAAGATCACAATGTCATGTCGGATTTTGATAATGTACGTGTTAGTGCTATTCGAAATTAGATCTTGGATGTTAATTAAGTAAAGCCAAGGTAGACAAGTTTTATTTATTTATTTTTATGATTGGCGGTTTAATCCTATGATGTGTGTATTTCTTAGTTGTTTTAAATTCTATATATTTTTTGTGTACAAAATATTTCAAATTATGGTGAGATTATAACTAAGCGTTAAATATGTGTAATGGTTTACACACATACCTCAACAGAAAAAAAATAACATTTAAAACACACACACCTTAAGGAGTGGTAATCAAACACTCCAAGTCCCTCTAGAATAAAAAGAGTTGCTCAAATGCAGTATGAAATGGTTCAGATTTCTACTTATATGGTTTCCCCTTTCTGAACTAAATAAAAAGGGAAGGCCAGATATTTTAATATAGAATCGTAATTTTTTTACAACATTTAAATAAAATTTTGGTCTTTCAAAATATTTTAAAATTTAATTTCAGTCTCTAGAATTATTATTTTTTTATCTAGTTTACATTTCTAATCGAAATTTAAAATAGACGTTTTATATATATATATATATATATAATACTCTCGTCATTAAGTCAAATTGACTAATTGGAAGTTAAGTTACGGTTTTTTTTTTCTTTTGCTCTCCTTACTCGTTGCCTTTAGGGATGAATTATTACACCAAATTTCACTTTAACATTCACTAATTAAAAGAGTAATTAATAAAAAATACACTTTAAAAAAGATTTTGAAGGATAGTTTTTTATTAACCACTCCTCTAAAATAACTTTAGAGAAATTAACAACGGCTCTCTAAAGTATTTTTTTTTATAAATTAAAATTTTAAAATATCTAATTCAACTCACTTTATGAATTATTTCGTCTTCTTTGTCTTTTATGCGTTAATAATATTATTTTTCTCACATCAATAAATATTTTTTTCTACCATTCTCTTTAATTTTTTTTTCTTTTTTTCTTTATTAATAATGAAATATCTTATTAATTTGTCCTATTTTTCTCTACTTGCTAGTATTTGATTCATGTATATGTAAATTATTTAATTAACACATTGTACAAACTCAAATTTAATATTTTGATTTGTGATAAAAAAAAAATATTCAACACTTTGATTTATGATAAAAAGGAAAAAAAATTTGAATGTCAAACATACAAATTCAAATTATATAAATTTAAATTTAAATGTAACAATAAATTAATTTTAATTCGTAAAAAAAAATTCATAGAAGAAAGAAATTTTAAATTTTATATTTGTAATCCACACTCATACTTTGGAGAATGATAATAAGAATTACTTTCTAAATAACATCAAATTTGGATTGATATATATTAGAGCAGTTTGAACTGTTCTCTAATATCTTTTCTATGTGAAAATAAGATAAATTTTACATAAATAAATATAACTTATTTAATAATTCTAAAATGTGAGTCTAACTTATAATTTATTATTTGTCATAAACTTTTTATTAAGTGATATTTTTAAAAATTTGATTTGATCTATTTACACTTTAAATGACTTATTTTATATTGAGATTTTTAATAAATTATTAAATTTTTTTATAAATAGACTATTAAATTATATAAACAAGTATGTCTCTATAAAGTTCATAAGATTTATATTTAAATAAGCCATTAAAAAAACTTTAACACCTTAAATATTTGTAATAAAATTATATATTTTTAATTATTACTTTCAAACAATATATTTAATTTAAATAAATATATTACTAAATATTTAATAAATACAAATGCAAATCAATGTTATGTATATAAGACATATTAAACAACACTCATACAAAAGATTCCACTAAATTACGCTTTCTCTCTCTCAAAGGATATGCACTTTCCAATTTTAACAAAAAAAATTAGTATTTTTAATTTAATATTTTATTTATTTTAAAATTGAATTTATTTAATATAATATTATATTATAATCTTTACAATATTATATATTTTATGAGTCTTAAAGAGATTATATTATTAGGCTTAATAAATTTTTTCATAAAATTAAACCTTGATATATTCAATTAATTAAATCTTTTTAAAAGTTTAAATTAAATTTATTACTTAAATAGATTAAGAAAAACTAAATTTTAAAAAATTTTAAATCATATAACCATATCAAATGACCAAGCTCAACTTTTGTATCGCCATGGCCAGCATCCTCATCTTTCGTGCTCCTCCAAGACCCTTACAACGCTTAATTACCTTGGCCTTCTTTTAATCATTGCATCAAATAATAATGAATAAATTATTTCACCAAAAATTTATGAAAGTTAGTCATATTTGATTTTTATCATCTCTTTACCATTTCTATGATTTTTTAATTGTAAAATAATAAAAATAAACTACTCATATTATTTTACTCGAAATAAATTAAACATAACAGAAAGAAGAGGGAGCCATAGATATTCATGAATAAGTGAAATGAGATCAATACGGTGTTAAAAAAACAAATGCAAGATAGGCGCCGTCAAAGAGATCGTTAAAAAAAACGATGGTGATAAGGCAGCATGTGGTGCCCATCGACGAAAAGAAGGGGAACGAGGTATGCTGGGAAGAAAGGAAGAAGAAGATGAAGGGTAGAAGAAAAATGAGTAGAAACAAAGATATATATATATATATATATATATATATATATATATATATATATATATATATACATAATTTGGATTATCATTGACTAATTTAAATATGTCATTTAATAGTAATGATAAAAATCATCCATTTTCAAAAGAATAGAAATTTAAATCAAACAAAAATATTTTTGAGGGAAACCATATGAAGATATTTAAATAATGACCAAAATAACTTGCAGCAAAAACAAAAATTACCACAATAACTTTGATATACATTACAGTGTTGAATTTATTGTTGCTCGTCAATTAAACAATTGACAATTAATGAAAATTACTTTATGATAAGAATTAAAATTATTCACTTTTAAAAAGATTAACTTTAATTATATAAAATATTTTCCAAGAGTTAAGATTAAATGTCGAGGTATTTGCATGATACCAAAACTTTATCTGAGTCTTTTCTACATGTATGGTAGTTTGATTCCTTGTCTTGTTTCCGCATACATATACCTGAATGAACGTATATATTTAAGATCTGTATTCCTATATAAAGTTGCTATAATAATTAACACAGCTGGGTCTAGCACGATATAGTTTAGATTTAATTGGAAACCTGCGTGCCATAAACAAATTATTGATGAACAATTTGCGACACTTTTCAGATATATTTTTGTATTTTTAAAAATAACGTATTTTCAGTTTAGTAGTTGATGTTTCTGAAAGGAAGCATCTTCCATTTTCCCTCAACGTGTACATCAGTATGACAATTTTCTTCTTTATTTGTTCTTTTTTTTTTCCTTAACTTTCTTCCCCTTGGATCACTCTTCTTTTTCATCTGAACTCCATACTTGATGCAATTCCTTAGCGTACGAAATTTTAGTTAGTGCAAGTTCTTTCATATATAATATCATATACAATTTAATTATTTGAATATAAAAAATCGATACATGTGATACTATATTTTTATGTGTTATTTACTTATAAATAGTTTTTATATACATATATTAAAAATACAGCCATTAATCAAATATTTCTTGTTGCCCTATTTTTGGTGTTAACAAAATATTTTCCAACCATATGCTTGATTTATATTCAAATTAACCATACAATCGTTAGAGTACAGACAGGCACACACAGAATATGGCCAAAATCGGAAGTATCCCATGATCAAGCTGAACTCAAGCGTTAGTATAATTAGAGTTTATTATAACTGCTTTCATTAATTCATAGACAGTAACTTCGACAGACATGGATTTCGAAGGATATGTTTGTTTTTAGATCATATATATATATATATATATATATAGGAGAAAGAAAGGGAAAAGAAAGAGAGGGGAATTATGTAAGAGAAATGGTTGATCAGTAATACTCAATCTCCCTTCCTTTTCTTCTTGTGCTCCTCAGACTGATCAAGAAGATCCTCCAACACCTTATCGTCCAAACACTCGAACTCGAAAACATGCCTTTGTTGTGCACAGGAAGAACTGCTACCACTTGCATGAGAAGAGGAAGAGGGTGATGCCAAATGAGGTGGATATGGTGGAGAACCCCTTATTTGAGAATAGTACTCATTAGGAAAATTGAGAATTGCAAGATGACCCCTCAAGTTAAACGCTGCACGATCATAAGCTCTAGCAGCTTCTTCAGCAGTATCAAATGTCCCTAACCACACCCTTGTCCCTTGCTTTGATGGATCTCTTATCTCCGCCGCGTACTTCCCCCACGGCCTCCGCCGAACGCCACGGTAGCGCACTTCTTCCCTTCCCTTCTCCTCTTTGCCTTGCTTTCCCCTTTGGTGATCCTCCATGCTCTTCTTCTTCTTGAGTGTGCTAATTAGCTTTTCAATTTTTGACCTACCCTTAATTGTTATGTCTCCTAATTTTGTACGGTGAGTTTTGTGATTGCCTACATATGCTTATATAAATAGTCGGTGTGTGAAGATGAGTCACGTCTAAGGAAAATAATGATTTATTCTCTATCTCAATCTAGGAACGTACATTGACCAAGATTTGTTTCCCAGAAGGTTCTTTATTAATTGATATAGAAGTGTATAAATTCGATTCTTCGACTATGTCTATGTTTTGCCGCGAACATACTGTATGTAGGGAGGGTAAAAAACTTTCCCATCAATTGGCAACTAAGAAAATTTTTTAACACATTTTCACACGACGAGCGAGAATCATAGATTTTCTGACACTGTACATGTATAGTTCGATCCATTAGCAACACCCGATTTCTGTTTTTATTCACAGCACTTTAAGTGAAGGTGTATCTGATTGGGGTGGAGACAACTTTATGCTCCCACAGATTGACGAGACTCCACAAACTATACAAACGATATGCTAAAAGTATTATATATATATATACACTTGTTTATAGAGCCAAGTCGAAGGCGCACGTATCAATGGTTGCCTACTTTGGTATTCTAATGACGGTACTTCAATATTTTAAGTGTGATGGATTAATCATTAACAAGATAACTATTCGTAGTTATATATATTACTCACATTCACATGTTTAGGTTTACATACATTCTTATTTTCATAATTTATTTCGATTTTGAATTATATCCCTATATTTTAAATGTTTAATTTTTTATCTCCTTAATTTTAAGAATTTTAATTTTGTCTCAAATATTACTAATAATATGTTAAAACATGTGTCTTGCAATGTCGAACAACCATTTGGACCAATTTGTGATACACTACAAGAATCAAAATCTAAATAATAAAATTATAAGATCACAAAACTGAAGTCACAGTTAAAATAAATCACGTAAAAAATTATATATTTATTAATTAGTTCTACTCATTAATAAGTTATCAAATAACAATTAATCTATCCATTCTTATATTGTGTTTTTGGCTGAAGATAGTATACCATGATGAATCTAAATATTTTGGCTAATATCTTACTTTATAAGAGGGAAAAAAATAGTAGCAGGGACAAATTAAAAGCATTGATATAATAATGATGATGATGATTAAAATTGAGTTCAGGCATGTACCCCTAATGCAGCTTCATGTAGGTTCGTCCTTACTATTGTACATGTTTTATTACAAAGAACTGTGAATGGAACAACCCAAGTCGTATTGTATATTAATTGAGTAATGTTATATTTATATCTTCTTCTTTTCTTTTCTTTTTTTTGCTATTATATCTTATTTTTTTATTCAATGCTTTTTTTGCTCTTTGATTTTTTTTATTTTTATCTAAAAATTATAAAATTTGGTATGCAAAATTTATGTGTGAATGATATTGTCTTCGAAGATTTTCATAGTTACACAAAAAAAAATTTATCATTTACTGACACACAAAAGTTATCAAGTACTAAAATAATTTTTGTCAGTATCAACTTAGTCTAAAAATAAAATAATCAATATATATATATATATATATATATATTAATAAATTTATTTATTAGTATAACATATCGTATTGTCAGTAGAAACTCTAATAATCAACTCTAGTTAGGAAGAATATCCACTAATAGAAGTTAATTTAACATTAAACTATTAGTAAATAATAACTTTTTTCAATATCACTGCATGGTTTACATGTTTTGTAGATTCTATAAATATTATTCACCAAAACTCTAAGGATACTTTTAATGGATAAAATAAATAAATAAAATAATTTCTTTATCTTTTCTTTCTTTTTTAATATAAAATTTATTAAATATAAAATTAAATTAAAAACAAAAGGTTAAAATATATTTAATTGTTATTTTGACATATAAAAAATAAAATAAAAATGTTTAAGTCTTGTATTATATATTTTTAATCTTATCACATATACATAATTTCTATCATAAATGTTTCATCACCTTATCTGACAATCTAGCTCAACAAATAATTCTGAACAAACTCTAATAATTGAGAAAATAAATATTTTATCAAGCAAGTACCAAATTCAACTGGGGAGTTGGTAAGTTACATTTTATAAGAGAGTCCGTGTCGAGCAAAATTAATTCGATGGAATAAATATGGACTTATGGTCATATATATATATATTCACTAATATTATTTACACTACTTAATAAAATTATTATAACTAATTTAATTATTCTTATAAATTAAATTAATTGTATTAAATTTTATAAAAAATTAATAAATATTTTATCATATTAAATGAAATTTAATATATATAATTATAAAAATAATATAAGATAATTTAACTAATAATATAAGATAATTAAATTGGTAAATTAATTTTAAATTATATAAAAAATTATTATAAAATGTAAGTGTTTAAGTTTAATATTTAATATTAACAGATTATGAGTTTATTTATATATATACATATATATCAAATAAATTATGTCAGAATAATTAATTATTAAAAAATTAAGTAATGTAGATTAATAAATTTTATTTTATTTTAATAATTAAAATTAAAAAATTATTTATAATTATATAACTATTAATTAACTTTTATTTTTAATCATATTAGTATATAATTATATAAGTAAATTTATAACTTTCACAAATTTAAATAAAAATTATTTTTACTGAATATATTCTCATACATATATGTGTTTGTGACCCTACTCAATAGAAAAATGGGTTAGAAAGCAATACGTAAAATAGAAACCTTTTTTTGTGGTCAATATGTTTTTATTTATGTAACCATTGTCAAAAGTCGATTTAAATTGAGAACAAGAAGAGAAAACCCAATTCAAACTTTAAAAGGTAGTGTGATTGGTTATATTGTAACAACAATTGACCATATAATATATGATGTTATCCCAAGGACATTTTACATTTTACCCAAGGCTATTGTGCACTTTTGGACCAAAACAACCCCTTTACGCGCGTACACAACGCACAATACACGTAATATTATAACACACACATGTATAATATTATATTAAAGGAGTTTTAGTTTGAACTCTCAACTATATATTATCTGTAAATTTTAATTTTGATATTTTGTGTGAAAAAAGGAGTTTTAGTTTGAATTCTCAACTATATATTATTATTATTATTTTTTAATGTTGATATATTGTATAAAAAAATTCAAATCTCATACATTAATATAATTAAACTCATTAAGTAAAATGTTAAAAAAAAGTAAATATATTATTTAAATAAAATGTTATAATAATATGGATGAGAAAGTTATTATAGAAAAAAAAATTATGTTAATAATATATCAAGATTATTTTTCCTTGTGACACAATCTTTTTTTTTTTAATAAGATGATAATGCTTAAGTTTCAATCTATAATCTCATTTACGTTTAAAAAATTACTGCATACACTGATTAAAAAAAACATTTAACTGCTACATTTGCCCCTTGTTAGTGTAATCTTTATTTGATGAAAAACTAACATGATAGCATACATATTATAAATCTACCCTATCAATAAGATTTCTTATATTTCATCACTAATTATATTTTTTAAGAAATTTTCTTAAAAATAAATTTTTCAGGTTTTTATATCATTTAGTTAAGATTATAAAAAAATCAGAACATGAAAATAATCCAATTTTAACTTCTTTAAGAGAAATTATTTTAAATAAATTATAAAAAACACTGACAAAAAAAACTTCCCATTAAAATAAAAGTAGTTTTATAATTATAATCAAACAATAAATAAATTCACATATTTATTAAAAAATTAGAAGTAAAAAATAATTTAATTTTAGGTTTTTTAAAATGTTATTTAAGTAGTTTTTAAAAAAGGGCCAAAGTTATAACTATCCACTAAAATAAAAAAAAAATTACAATTGTAACAAAATAAAAATAACTTATATTTCTTATAATTTTTTAAAAATAAATTACTTTTTATATATATTTAAAGTATATATTTTTCCTCAAAAATTAAAACAAACGGGTAAATTTAATCAAGTTTTTTTTTTCTCATGACAAATAGTCGTTAAAAAGAAAAACTCAACAAGCTGACTCTTTTTTAAGAAGAACGGTTCAAGCATAAAGTAAAAGTGTAAGGCTCTAGTTAGAGAAAGAAATTTAATACTTATACATATAAATACATTTAATTATATTTTTAAAAAATTCTAATTAATTTTAGTGATGACATATAATATGTGTTTAATCATATTGCATGACAAAAAAGCATATTACATCAATGATTATAATTATAAGATAATATGATGCGCGACTTGTTTAAACGTATGTTACTTTATATTTTATTTAAAATTAAAAATTATCGTATAACATGTAAAAAAAACACTTATTTGTAAGTTCAATAAATCAAAATATCTTGTAATCTTCCACTAATAACCACTGAGCAAAGTCAAATCAGGGGAAGAGCTTACACAATTATAACACTTATTAGCTTTTGCATTTTAAAATTTTAAATACTTAAATATGTTTACGATAAAAAGTGAAAAAAAAATTATTTGAATAAAATAATATACATTTAGTGAATGTTTGATGCACGCTTTTTTTTAAAATTTTTGTGAATTATGTTGTTTTTTTTATGAATTTTGAGTCATGAGAATGTTGAAGATATATTTAGCATGTCTAAAATATTATTATAAACAGTATGCAATATGGTTAGAAAATGTTTCTGCTTCATGTTTGATGTAAATATTACATTCTAAGAATATTAATCTCTGGTAAAAAAAAAGTCATTTTTAATTTTTTTTAAATTTTCGTTATAATTAATAGTTTTTATTTATTTATTTATTTAATTATGTTTATACTTGTTTAAAAATAAATAAAAATTTAAAATAAATAATTAGAGTTTAATTTTTATATTAATTATTGTAAAAAATTATATATTTGTTTGATATGGTAATTTATTATTGATTGATAATATAAAAAAAAATTACATTGTCAA